TCTTTTGGTGTAACATCAAGTGTTCTGGGTTGGAAATGAGATGACATGCTGAAAGTGTGCTATTTCTGTCAAGTTACCTTTTTGTGTGACTCCTATCATGTCTGATATTGCTTGTGCAGACATACGTTTAATGAAGAATATCTCATAAACCAGAAGCAATCATGTGTAGCTTTTGTTCAGAGTGTTGTCTTGGTGCAGTCACTCAAGACAGTCATCTATCATTTAAGAGCCATTTTAACAGCAATACATTAAAGTTAGTGGTACCCAGCCTCTCCTGGCATTCCTAAAAGCCACTTTTACATAATCGCAGAAAAAAAAAAACCATTTTCCTCAATTTTTTTTTTGGGTCCCTGGCTGTCTTAAAAATGTTCTACAACATTGTTCTCTGTGGGATTTTGTTTTTTTCTAAGACACTGTTTGCACATTCAGGATGAGAATATCCTCTCTGTCACTGTTGTTTCACTGCCAGCTGCAGCTCTCTCATGGGTGTCTTTCAAGTATATTTAAAAATGTGGGTGAGTTTTGTTGAAGTTGTTAGTGTGTGGCTAAAGTGGCTCGACAGAATTTCTCAATAAACCTTGTATGTATTTGTATTTGAGGCAAGGTAGAGAATTTAGTACTTTTTAAAATACTCGATATTTTGCAGGCAGCATTTTACTTTCCGTTTCATTGTTGATCTGTTCACTCAGAAAAGCATTACTGTAATTACATTGTTCATCTATGAGCCTCTGTAGTCTTTTTATGCTGTTTAATGGACACAACGACCGAGACTGTCCAAGCCAGGGCTCGAACCGGCAACCTTCCGATTACAAGGCAAACGCCCAACTCTTGAGCCACGATCGCCCCCATGTATGTTGTGTTTCGGTTTAAAAACTCCAGCAAGATCTATGGATCGTTCAAATTAACCAGAGCTTTATTTACAGAGAGACACTTTATTTTAAATTGCTTGACATTAAAGTTAAGCTTTTCAAATGTCATCTCTAGAGGCATCACAGCCTTTTGTCTGCTGGTGAAGTGCAGTGGCAGCACAAGTCTCAGAGCTCAGAAACATATGTTAAAACCAGAGAAATGAAACCAAAGCTATTCACATGGCTTCATATGTAGGCACACCAGGTCATACGTGCACGAATACTGACCTGAAAAAAGAGCAGAGCAGGATAGCCCATTAAACCAAAACAAATACGTATTTTGCATTCAAATTTTTATGAAAATCCAGAGCGCAGTGTACAGTATCGCCTTACCTTTGCAACATGTAAGTATGCATGCAGGTAATCAAAGTATTGGGAGACAAATATGTCTTATTTGAAATGTCAAGAAACTCTTATTTGCCTATTTTGTCATAAACATATTGAATTCTGAATCATTTGGCATGTAGGAGTAAATATTTGTCTTTTTGAGAAGCATGTACACTGCAGTAATTGGGATCAACTGACACATCTAGGGTCAGCGTTACACTTTTTCACACGTTGTCTCATGTAATGAGTCACATAATCAATAGTGGGTCAACCATCGTCATAAGGGACAACTCCTACTAGGGCTTACATACCTGGGTCTCTCCACCATTTGGTCTTAGAACTGATGAAGCTTCTTGGATGAGAGTGAAGCGTCTTCAAGAAACTTAAAGAAGTCCCACTGCTTTTCTTTCCAAGCTCCTTAGATTACCATGACCTGGATGACTGAGAACCTACACAGACATACATTGCGGTTGAGAATCACATGGGTAAAGACTTATTGCCCTTTTATGTCTTACACATGGAAAGCAATAAAAAATATATCCTTTGTGTCTATAGCATCTTCACCTTTACGTCCTGTCTGGTCAGTAATATTATGCAGTATGCCTAACTGCAAACATTTGCACGATCGAAGGAGAACTTTACTGGACCTGGAAACTGGAGGTAAAGCGCTGAACCCTTTCTTTTGATTAGAAACAAGCACAGACACATAGACGCACACACACAAACACACACGTATGAGCCAGATTTGCTGTGGTGATTTGATCTCCTGTGAAGAGGAGATTGGTAATGTTCTTTTTTTTCTTTGGAGACAGCATTACCCAGGCTCAAGAGAGAAGTGAAGACTTTCTGTAGCCTTGCAGCCTCTAAAGGCTTCATGGAGGCTCTCTAAACCCCGAGCTCCAGCAACTAGTTTTCAGTGTTGATTGAGGAAGATAGACTGTCTGCTGTCTGTACAGCGGCTTTGTATTTTTTCACCAGCAGAAGCTGCAGTAGTCTTCTCACTCTAATGCTTATTGATTCCAACACTTCCTAAGATGGTGTGCTGTAAGTCAGTGCTGCTTTGCATTTCCATGCCACTTTTTTTTTATTTGTTTAAGTGTGACTCACTAATGGTGAGGTAGAAGAAGATTAAGAGTAGATTTTGCCACTGTGACGCTGCGTCCTTGCCTGCTTACGCTGTTAGATGATGAGGAAAAATCTATTTTACATTCATCTCATCTAACCCCAAAGAAAGCTGGCATCCAAATAGATTTTTTTCCCGCTGTGCTGATGAAGCACAGGTGTTAATGAGCATTAACATTCATAGCCTGGCTTGTTTTATCTACTCCTGCATTTTGTTTGCACACCTTGCTGTTCAGCAATCACTTTAAATGCAATGAACTCTCTGTGGTTTTTAGAGGCTGTTTACACAAAGTAGAAGGAACAAGTTCTCTCAAATTTCTTGATGTTCTTTTGTTTGCTTGTTGCTTTTCGTACTGTGGAAGCCATGATTTTAAGCACCCCTTCTCACTGGAAGACCCAAAGCAGCAGCGCTACACTCATAGCTAAGCCTTCATCAAGCTTTACGTTTCTTTACATATTGATGATTACTGGTCCTGTAATTAGAGCAGCAGAACATCTGTTATGTAATATTTGCACACTGTGAGGAGTGATGAAGGAGCTTGCACTTTGGTTACTACCGTCTTTTAGTGTGTGCAAAAATAAAAGCGAAGCTACATGTGCTATGAAACCGTGTGGCCATAAAGACCCCTATTCCACAGTTCAGTTGACACTATAATTAACTCCTGGCACACAAAATTGTGGTTGGTTACCCAGACAGGTAGACTTAACTGGGTCAGTCACCTCCAGTGGACATACAGCATAATACATAACCACAGGTGTCTTTGAGCGCTTATAACTGAAGGCCATACCTGACAAACCCGTTACAACCAGGTCCTTTGTGTTGTTGATAAACTGCTCTTTACGAGCGAGCAGCATCAAAATTCTGCATGTATATGCAGTCTGTCAGGTTAACGCATTTGTGTGTGTCTGTGTGCGTGTGTGTGTGCGCATGGGTATTTGTTGCTAGCAGGCAGATAGTCAACATGACCCAACTTCAGCTTTTCAGCTTTAGCGCAGCTCTGCAGACAGCTGTGCCACAAACACGCTGCTGTGGATCACCGCGAGGGCCTTTTATTTAGGTCACATTCTGTGCTTCAGTGGCCAACAGAAGAGATCTCTGTCAACTGCAATGAATACCTTTAGTTGGACACAGCCCACTTTTTAAGTGCTCTGCAAGAAGCGGACACTGTGCACGTCTTTGTTGTATGCGGTGGGTGCCGCATGTGAATTCACTCTTGTGAGTGCGTTGCGGATGGTGGGTGGGGGTGGGGACTGACCACTGTGGATTTTCCATTTTCACTCATACAATAAGAGAAATCTATTTGCTTAATTCTCTCCCTGAATGATTTAATCCTCTGGTTTAGCGGAGACAAGGAAATTGCATGAATTATTCCCCTAGTTTTTCAATTAATGTAGCACCTAGTTTACAGTCAAAGAAAATAATAAATCTTTCAACAGTACAGCCATTCACTTACCTGCACCTCACATGCACCCAACACCATGTCCTCAAGGGAAGTAAACGCTTGCCATGATATTTAATTCTGCTTCTCCATCATTTTTTTTGTCCTATGTTCATTTCTCCCACCCTAACTCCCAACCCTTTTTTTCCCATTTTTTAAAAATAAAATATACCTTAGTGGCCTTTGGTACTGCATTGTAAATCAGTGTAATGAATTGCCTGCTGAGGCTAAGCCTCACTGCTGTCGCTGTGCTACCCTGAGGTGCGTGGGCTCCGATTATTGTCTTGTTAGCTATACCTCCAGTCCACTGGAAACAGTGTGGATTCACCGACCAGCCAGCCACAGCCCCACATGGGTAAGGAAGGCACTTTAAGGATGCTGATGTATGCCGCTCTTTTGTAGTCACCCTGTAAGGGCAAGGCCGTTTATTGCAGTCGCCTCAACCAGCCCAGAAGCTGTCAGCTGGGTTTTACTGGCCAATTGGTTTCCCCCCTAGAAGACCTAGAGGTATAGAGGGGGTATGTGATCACTGATTGTATTTGTGGGTGTGGGGATGTGCATATTTACTCAGCGAGCAGGTAAGCTGTAAAACAAAACTAGATATGTTTTCTTTTTTGTTTTAGTGCTACCCAAACATGAAAGCACTGGATTAAATTTGTGAGACAGGGGACAGTTGTGGTAAAGTCGCTGCATTACCATCCCTGATTTCTTGTATCTTTGACTTCCATTGAAGTTTCATTTTACAGTAGCCTTGAACAAATTTAGCACACACTTGAAATAGATTTGATCTCTCCTTGCTACCTTTTCTTGCTTTAGTTCTCTCTGTTTCCTTGATTCACTGTCATTTTTTTGTTCACTGAAATGTAGTAGACTAAACAGAGAAATGGAGGAAGAGGCTTGAGGACAGATCTGGGTGTCTGGGACAACATGCCAAATGGCTGCTATATTTAGAAATCCTCCTTTTGAAGTTTTGAAGGGCAAAAATCAAAGACTTTGAGGCAAGAATAGGTCCAAGGCCTGTCAACATCAGATTTTCTCAGCTGTGAAGGACGGCCAAAAATCATCTTCCTCAAATAAAATCGGATGAAAACATTAAATTGAGCTTTTAAGTGTATGCAAATAGATATTTATAATTCTGTTTTCTGTCTCTCTCTGTTCTTGTTTGTTTGTCTGTTCTTCCCCATGGCTGTGTATTTCTTTGCAGAGCTAGTTTCTGGGCCTTTGCAGACTTCCTGCAGCAGCAGTTGAAGACCTGGCCACGATGACAATGAAAGGTCTGTCCAGCAGTCGCAGTCACCATCACACAGTGACCTGCGACCCTTCTTACGACTCGATGACCCTGGGACACTCAGATCGTCGGTCCTACTTCCTAAACTCTGGGGATGCTCATCCTGCTGACCACCCTTGCTATACCCAAAGGAACTCCTTCCAGTCTGAGTGCAGTACCTATCCTGATCTGGCCAGCTGCACTTTCCCTCGCAGACAGTACAGCTCTCACCATGAGCTAAAGGAGGAGTGTGGTGCTTTGGTGCCTTACACTGGGCCGAGCAGTAAGGGAGGTGGAGGAGGAAACAACAATCGCATCCCCTCTAACCTGCTAGAGCAGTTTGAGAGCCAGGCACCATTGCGGCGTGAAGGCTACCACACACTGCAGTATAAGCGCACTGCTGTGGAGCATCAACGCAGTGACAGCCCCGGTCGAATCCGCCACCTTGTTCACTCTGTCCAGAAACTTTTCACCAAGTCACACTCCCTGGAGGGGCCCTCAGGGTCTGGTGGAGGAGGAAGTGGGAGGATGAATGGCAGCAAATCCAGTCCTGATGATCCACCATCATCCTCTGGCACCTTAAAGCACAGCAAGCGCAGTAAGAGCAAAGACCGCTCCAAGTCGGAGCCTAAGATGCGCTCTGCCATCTCAGGCTACTGGAGCTCAGATGACACGCTTGACCGGGAAGTGTGCCTCTACCATCATCAACATGCGAGCAACAGTGGAGGCCTGCCCTCTGGGGTCATGACTATGGGGCGTCATCCAGAAAAATCCCAGTCGCAGTATTTCATGGAGTCCTATAACACTATCAGCGCCCAGTCTCTCAAGACGTCACGTAGCAACAACGATGTGAAGTGCTCAACGTGTTCGGGGGGCAGCGGTGGAGGGCTGCCGCTGATGAGTGCACTCGATGCCCAAGTTCAGCTGAAGAAGAGCTCATGGTCTTCTACTCTGACGGTGAGCAGAGCAAGAGAAGTCTACCAGAAGGCCTCAGTCAACCTAGACAAAGCTCTGGTGAAAGCCGAGCAGGGACGCACTTGCCACTTCCTTCAGGTAGGACTGTTTACAACAGCCCCACCTCTAATGTGTCAAACTTCATGCATCATCTGGTGTGAGCCGCTCCTCCATGTTTCTGTTTTTCTGCACAAAATCTGCATTTGTTTGCTTGCATGCGTCATTGTGATTTAGAGAGAGAGAGATGGAGAGAGACTAATCAGGGTCACAGCGACCCAGACTCGTTCATCTCATTCCCCTGAGCTTTGATCTCTTGTTGAATTTATTCTTGATATAATCATAAACATTTTTCAGACTCATCACATACCATCTAATCCTCTGTGGTTGTGGTTGAATGCACTGAAATATTTACAATATTTATAATTATATGGCTGGGGTTTAAGGGCTTAATTCCCCTGTAATTCAAATTACGATGTAATTATATTGAAATGCAAATTCTTAAAGGCAGGTAATTTAGAATAAAGGTATAACAAGTCAGATTTTTACAGGAAGCAAAATTTAAGTATGTAAGTAAATTGAAGTAATTAAAATTACTTATGCAGTTACAGTTACTTAAGTATTGCATAATTTCCTGGTAATTTTACAGAAAATACGCTGTACTTTTCAGGGCACAAGCCTTATTATTAAGTGGATTAATTTAGCCTTTTTACAGCTTTATTTTGTTACATTGTTAATTAATCTTCATTATGTTGATGAATTTTTTATTATTTAATCATCCTTTTTAACTTATGTTGTACTTAAGATTACTTACAGTATAATATGTGTCTCCCTTTTAGTAAAACACTCCATAATACAGCCCTCACCCCAGAAAGTACTTACATTGTAAGCTCAGAAAATATTATTTGTTTTTCCACTAAATTACCAGGAAATTGTGAAGTAATTAAAATTACTTATGCACAACTTACATTTACTTTCAATATAATTATTTCTTTGTTCAGTGTAAAAACCTGACTGGTTTGTGTTTGTGGAGCATTAATGACACCTTGCAGCATGGAACTACATTATTACAGCTGTTAACATTATAATTGCATTGGTCATAGCAGGATTGGTGGGTATATGGTTGTAAATGTCTGAATATATCCTATTTACAAAGAAAAAGTGTGGTGCTACTATGAGATCAGAGGTCAGCAGACAAAAAATTAAGAGAAAACCACTCTACTTCCTAAGCATGGTGGCCACACGCGCTCAAAAATACACAGGGACACATGCACACAGGGACCCGATCATGCTTCACTTTTCTGGGAAAAGATAAAAGTGTTTCAGATTTCATGCATTTTCATGCATTGAGCTGAGCTGCAAATTTAGGCCCGAGGAAAGAAATGGAGAGACAAGCCGGAGAGAATAGACGAAAGCATGTGTATGTGTGTGCGGGGTTTTTTGGGCGGGGGGGGGGCAAATAAGGGCAACAGAAGACAAGACATAAAAGACAAAGTTCTGTATGGCCATGCATTTTAACATCCTGAAAAACGGAGTGAGCAGATCAAGGAAGGATGTTGTCACTGCAGTGTGGCAACAACTCTTCTAGCCTAAAAGAGCCATTGCTTTTTCTCCAGAGAGCGAGACGGAAGGGAAAAGTGGCTTTCAAGGAGAGCAGCCTGACAAGTTAGTCTCCAGACACTTTTTGAATGCTTAAAACAAAAAGACATGCTATTTGCATCACCTAGTGGGATGGGATTTTGTAATCCGGTGTTTGATGTTCACACACTCACTTAATTGACCCTTTTCATGAAACATTCAGAGGTTACATCCACAGACTGCATATTAAAATGGGGATGATGTCATCAACTGGTTTCTGAAGTTTTGGCTGACAGGGTAGTAAGTTAACGTCTAACACTAGCACACCTGGTTATCAAGCAGGGGTCATGAATTGCAGTCTGCTAATTAGTTAATAGTAGTAAAAGAATTTGAGTAATCAAAACAGAAGCACAAACTTCTGGGATGGGCTCTACCTCATAGCATGCAATAAATCTGCATTAAAAATGCTCAGAAGACCAAATCCAAAAGGGTGGGTTATAAAAAGTCATCCTTACCTCATCGGTTGTAAAGAGTAACACTGGCTACAGAGACCATAAATAGTTTTTTGAGTATGCTGTTCGTTTAAGAGCTGAAGATGACTCGCTTTTGGATCCAGCCTCAAGTGGCCGTTAGAAGAACTGCAGTTTTGCCACTTCAGAGTTGGTGTCCTTTTTCCAACCCAGAGGGAGCGGCCTACACCATCCTCCATACTCTTATGTTCCATTAAAAAGCTGATTAAAGCGAAATGAATACCCTTTTTTTTAATTTTAATTCATCTTTTTCACCCTGTTTTAGAATAATTCACTTTTGACGTCCCCATCCAAACCACTGTTGCTGAGATGTTAACACAGTCTGTAGTTACCCCTGACATCAAGGTCAGCTTGGTTTCCTAGCTACACACGAGTCTGTTGAATGATCCTTGTGAACTTTTTTCTCGCTCTGTTTCTCATTTCTTTCACTTCAGAGCTGGTGCCCTAACAGCCACTCACCTTAGCACTGCTGAACAAAACCCCCTTTGTTTCCCCCACCCTCTCTCTTTCCATGTCTGCTGTCTTTGACTCCCTCTCTTTTAGATTAGGGCTAGAAGATAGCTTTACCTCCTTTTATTTTTACCTTCATTAGTGTCTGTGAAAAGGCAGGAGTGCGCACAGAAGCTGAGGTACTGCAACATTTTGTCAAAACAATTAATTCCCTGCATTTGATATGCAGCATGCATCACAGGACAGACAAAAGAAGGCAACTGGCACTGGCAGGCTTATGGTATGATCAAGGCAGACTTTGCATTGATACTGTTACTACTGAATCTTTTCAGGTATAAAGTTCAGTGCAGACAACTGAGAAAATATTGGGTTTGGGGTTTTTTTTGTTTTTGTTTTTTTGAGTCTGCTCACGATTCATGTGTAAGTATGTCTGCAGGGGCCCTGAAGTGCAGAGGGTGACATGTATATAATACCTCTTTACCTAATCTCACCTCATCTCTACAGGTGCCTCAGGATGAGTGGAGCAATTTCTCTCCGCTGGGGAAAGATGACGAGATTCCATGCCGGCGGATGCGCAGTGGCAGCTATATCAAGGCCATGGCTGAGGAGGACAGCGGCGACTCGGACTGCAGCCCCAAACCCTCGCCCAAGGTCCAGGCACGACGAGCCAGCTACCTGAAGGCCACGCAGCCGTCTCTCACAGAGATGACTACGCTCAAGTGAGTGTGTACCAGGGCGCAAATTATTACTTGAAATTACTCGTTGTAAAGATTTGGATTTTTCTTAATTAAATAAATCTAAAAGGTAAGAAAAATGCCAGGCGTGAACTAAAGCTGTTTACACAAGAACACAGAGTTGTCCTTTCTTTAATGTAGCATGCAAAAGATTTTAAAAAAAAGAAAGTTGGCTCATCTGAAGCAGCAGCTGTGAGTGGTTTTGTGTTTTGACTGTTTGTTGTTAATCTGTGGGAAAAGATCTTGATTACATTTCTGTCCTGGGTTTGCGCCCTAATAGACTAATCATTTTTCCACTGTTTGTAACTTTAGATCTAACTCTGTATTATAAATGAGCATATGCTACTGAATAAAATGTGTTAAGTGTGCCGAAAGCCTGGAGTCACTCTGCACAGTGTCAGTGAAGCAGATTGGAGAGATGAAGGGAATGAGAGTGAAAGAGAAAAGTCAACAAACAACTGAGATGGAGGCAGTCAGTGTTAGTCAGCGTACTCCCAGCAGCAGTTTGGCTTATGTGTAAGTTCCTGGCTCTTGGTGATCACAGATTAATTACCTTTTCTGTGTTTACAACAATAAAGACATGCCTCTATTTTCATAGCTGGCATACAAATACACAAACACACTGAACTGAGAGCGACTGGGCCCTGATTTAAAATCCACAATGCCAGCTCACCTACTGAAATCTCTTTAAAGAAGCAAGCGCTGTGTTCTTCAGAAATGCATTGAGTTGAGAACATCATCAGCTATTTCTCTCTCCCTTTCTTTTGAAGCAATTCTTTTCGAATGATCTGAGGTTAAAAGCTGAGCTTCATTATTTGAAGAGTTTCAAGCTGTTGTTTCTTGTTATATAGGGCATTCTCTGCTCTGCAATCTATTTTTTCACAGCATGAGTTTATAAAGTATTCAGCAGTAACAGAGTCCATCAAGATTTTTATTTATTTATATTTTATCTAGTCCACACTGTCAAGCCCAATGGCAGAACTTAATCTCTTTGCAAACAAGTGGAACATTCAATTTTTGGAACTTCAAATTGATTGAAATTGTTTTCATTTTAATTTCATACCACTTTTGTACTTTTTGGCCAGCATTCCTATAATATTAAAACACTGTGCTAATGTTCATGGTAAGGAAGCATGGTGGGAGGTCATCAATTACATTTTGCTGTCCAACCCTTCTTGGCATAATTGTGAACACGCATACACAGATTTGCTCTGCAGTGTGGGAGTTTTATCTGACACTTTAGTGTAGTCGCTTTAATTTTTCCTCCAAGTGCAGTGGTGTAGGTTATCTGTTGGCTTATTTATAACCTGTCTGATTGTCTCTGACAGCTCGTGTTTTTTGCTTCCCCAGCTCCACTGTAGCAATGTCATCCTGTTTCCTGTTACTTCTGGGAGTACCAGTTATCGTAATATCACAGAATTAAGGACCGAAAACGTAAAAACCTGAGTTCTAATATACCAGAAATTGCCTTTTTAATCCATTGTTCTGTTGTGTACAGTCAGTCAGTGAGTCTAAGGTTGTACATATCATTTCATCATTAAAAAATAAATCTAATATTGACAGGTTTTTAAATTAGAATAATGTGACCGCAGATGAACAGTAAATCACGTTACACATTATTCATTATTTAATCAAAACTAAACCAATATATGGTCCTGTGGAAAACTAAGTGCACCTCAATTGCTTGTAGTCTTTAGCAGCAATAACTTGGAGTAACTTGAGGTAATGACTTTCTGCGTGACTATCAGTCTCTTCTATTATTCTAACGTTGCTTCACTTCATGGAGCTTTGTGGATTTACAATTGGATTTAGCACTTAAAATCCCATCACAATATTTCAGTTAGAGGCCTAAACTTTGAATATTTTCTTTTTCTGCCATTCTGTTGTAGATTTGCTGATGTGCTTCTGATCATTGTCCTGTTGCATAATGCATTTTTGGCCAAGCTTTAGCTGTTGGACAGCTGTCAGCCTCACCTTTTATATAGTTGATATTTTGGATTTTGGTATCCAAAGATATTTGTGGTCAGCGCAGTTGGTGCACATTCCTGTGGCTTTAAATCAATCCCAAATCATCACCTACTCTACCACCGCTCTTCATAGCTGCTATGAGTTGTTCGTGCTGAGATGCTGTGAGCATTATGGCTTAACATCTTTTGGTCTTGTCTGCCCAAATAACATTGTACCCAACATTTTGTTGTTAGTTAAGATGTAAATGTAAGCTAGTCTGCCTTGTTTTTTTTTCTGGTAACCCTTCCAAACAAGCCACACTTGTTCAGTCTTTTTCCAATTGTACTGTCGCCCTAACTTTAACATTTAACATGCTAACTGAGGCCTGTAGCGTCTGAGTTTTTTTTTTTAGTTTCTCTGTACTTTGCACGGCCTGAGCTCTCGGTGAATTTCCACTCCTCAGAAGATTGGTAACTGTCTTGAATCTTTCTCACTGTAGAATAATGGACTTTAAATTGTTTGGAAATGGCCTTATAACCCTTTCCAGACTGATGGGCAGCAACTATTGCTTCTGTAAGCTCATCACTGATGTCTTGCCTCCTTGACAGTGTGCTAACACACCTGAATGCCCCAGACAAGCTGCCAAAACCTGTGCTTTTATGGAGGTGCTCACACTTTCCTACAATCAGTTAAAGTGCATTTGATTAGCAACATGTGGCTGATGCTTTCCCTCTTAATTCCAATAGGAGTGTGCTTGGCTTTTCACACACTTTTTCTGCATTATCACTTTAGTTTTTATGAAATAAATAATGAAAGGATGTAATTGCTGTTGCTGTTTTTTGATGGTGTCCTTTCTTTATACCACCACACTGTATAACAACACATGATCTGACCGTTGGAGATATCTTACGTCATACTGCACTGAAACAGTTAAAGAACTGAGGACAGTCTGATGGCGCTGCACGAGGCTGTGACTGATTAGCTGTGTAATATACAGAGATGAGAAGAACACCAGTGGGTGCTCCGTCATTGTTACTGGTTTCACACACACACACACACACACACACACACACACACACACACACACACACACACACACCCTTACGTAAGTGCAAGTGGCACAGCTTGGGGCCTACTAATGACTTGAATTTGGCCCCGGGAACGCCATCATCATCTGATGGAACCCAATGGAACAAACCAAACTGCAGTGCTGCACATTGGAGATAGAGAATGAGGCGGGAGCAGCTGACATCTTGTTTTCACATGGTGCTTTTGGGAGCTGGCACAAGTCTGTTACACTCCGCAATGATTTAATAATCAGCCTTGTTGTTCCATATGTTTTCGAGCTCATTCTGTGGCCATTGTGTCCTTGACTAGCTGGGAATTGCTCCTAAGAAGTTGTGAAATTTGCTAATTCTCGTCCAATTGCAACCTCCTCCTTTATTAAAACACAAGGCATGCAGATAAAGAGTGTATATGAATGGTTGGGATTATTTCTGACAGACAACAACAAGCTCAGGAGAAATTACATCCTTTCTTGTTTCGCTCAGTCACAAACTCCAAGCTTTCTTTTTGCCATAAACATTTATTTGTGGCCTAGATTTTATCATGTTTACTGTGTGTCTCTAAGACACACCCTTCCATCCCTCCAACCACCGTGTTTAGGCTCTTTATTTAGATATACTAAGAGGGGAAAGCAAGGGAAGGATGAAAGCGGAGAAGGTAAAAGCAGTTAGACTAAGAAATCTTGTCACGCGGAGAGGCAGGGGGAACTGGTTGAGGAAAAAAAACATTTGAAGCAAAATGCAAAAAAAGACATGATGTGAAGATGAAAAACAGAAAAGAAGAATTATGTAGAATTATGAGAAAAGAACGAGAAATGTGGAGGTAATCGGCAGACGACAGACAGATTCCTGATGTAATGTCTTCATTTATGTCACTTGTTTCATAGTGGAACAGCTTGCAATATGCTAAACTCCCCCCAATCCTTAACTGGTCCTGATTACTGGCTGGGTCTGCAATTTAAGTGGCCACAATAGACATCATTGGTTCTATAATCAGCCCCACAGGGAAATCAAGAGGAGATGTGGATAGAAAAATGATGTGGGTAGATTCTTCCTTGACTTGATTCCTCTGTGAATCACCCACAGCCAAAGACACAAGGTGGCTGATATGAATGAGTCACACCAGTTTCGCTTTCTTGGTTTTAGAATATGTACCGTTTCAATTCTATAATGAAGTGAACCATTGCAGTACTGTAGGCAGTGCTGCATGGGGAAGTATAGTTATAGGTACAGTGGAACATAGACAGGAGTACAAACTTTATATTTACTCTGTGTAACATTTATTGAATTGTTTTGTCACATTTTAATTAATTGAATTACACAGACTGGTCTGAAATTTTGGGAAAGAGATCAAAATTAAAGGCCTGAAAAGTCTCTTCAGAAGCAACAGAGGTTGTGTATGTTGGTGTTGAAGGTTAAATTGCCTGACTGTAACATGGGAGATTGTTTTTCTCCTGTAAACTACAGGCTATGATCTTTTAACCATTGCCAAAGTTTAGACTTTTCCTTTTCCTTAAAAATATCTAAAATTAATCAAATAACCACCATAATGCTTGATTAGGAAACTGATTGATTTGAAAGTTGGAGTTCTGATAGTAGTGGCAGTATCAGGTGTTCATGTGGAGTGCATGGGTTGTTTAATTTGATAGTTATTCGAATATCTCCGATGTTGTGCCTGGAATCTGCCTGCTTTCTGGTCACTGCTCCTAATGCATCTGTTACCACTGGAAACACTTTGGACTTACACATCTGCTCCAGTTGTTTTTTTCAGTCCCTGGTACTTGTTGCTATCTGCTGGGATTAGCACATCTATCACAACTCTGGTCTTCTGCTCCTTGGAAACCACCACTATGCTGATTTAGCAGCTACTGCTTGTCTGTACCACAGGACTTTAGCTCTGTTGTTCTCAACCACCTTTCGTGGCATCTCCCATCAGGGCTTGGGGATTCCTAGTCCATGTGTATATTTTCCTGTACACTATCCCAGCCTCTTGGTTGGGCCTGTTAGTCTATGCTGTCCCAGCTTGGCTCTTAGATCCTGCTACTATGAGTTGGATAGTCTCTTGGGTGCTTTTATACACTCTGCAACTTGGATTCTGTCAGTTTCAGTAGACTCCTGCTTCTATGGACCTGGTGCTCAAGGCTTGTGCTGTTTTTTTAACCTGGCCTTTTGTAGCTATTGGAAGGATTTCTTTATGTCAGCCAGTTCCTCTATCTGTCGATGGTACATCCCAAGGATGGACTTGGTTGTCCGTGATAGTTGCTGTTTAATTGACTCTGTCTATGAGTTCTCTGTTCGGTTCTGAGATCACCCATTACCACTATATGTTACTCCCAGGCATGATATAGTTTGTTTGAGTTTGTTTTCTCAATCAAACTCATTCAGCTTTAATAATACTTAAGATATAATAAAACATGACATTTGGCTCAAAAAACTATTTGGTGATTCAGATACACCAGATTCCTCTTTTCCTGTCATCTGGTGGAAAAAATGATTTTCCTTAAAAATACAGTGGAACTATTAGAAAACATTGATGGAAGACCTCAAAATGATCAATTGTGTTGATCAAACAAAGCAGCAGCATGACTAACTCATGAATTTTTCTGTGTCTGTGGAGTATCTTCTAGTATATTATTCTCAATATTAAAGAGCCAGGAGGACGGTCAGGCTAAATGGAGACATGTTTTAAAATTAATAACTGTCCATTCGGCACACTTATTCTTATCTCAGTAGTTTATCTGTTCTTCCACTTCACCTCACCTTTCCAATCTTCCATCCAAGAATGAGTAATCTAGTTTGCTTTGCTGTGGTAACCGCGCACTATTTTAAGGCAGAAATGCATAATTAAAGCTGACCTGACATGAAGGCAGAGACTAAGAGTTGTATAAGCAAAGTACCTATATGCGGATGGTCTTATATGTGTGTGGAATAAGAGAGGCTACAAAAAGACGTGGCTCTCACCGTTAATTTGAGAATTTATATATAATCTGTGATGTATTCTTTCCTCACTTGGTTTAGTAGACCGCCATGTTCCTCAAGAATGAAGTGAGTCTGCTTTTTAGGTTTTATTTGCTGTGATTAATTCGTTCTTTAACTTGCATCCAATTGCTATTTAACCTAAACAGCAAGCACCCTTTTTTGCGGGTACGCAAATGCACACGTGCACATAGACGTGAAGCATGCTAAGCAATCAGGCTGAAAGCAGGTGACAATTAATGAGACATCTATTCATACCTTTCATACAGGATGTGTATCAAATATATTTCTGTGTTTTTATGTCACAGTCTCTAAATTAAGTATACCTCACAGGCATACAGAAACAGACGTTCATATCTCTATATACAAGAGTTCTCATGATTAAGCGTTTTAGAAAGTGCTTACAAGGAGCTTCAAGGACAAACTATCTAAGCTACTGTGAGCGGTTCTCAACAGAACTACGCTGTTTGATTAGATAATGGTGTGTCCTGAAGCAATTGTGGATTGATCCTTATCTTTCGGTTCACACACTTCCAAGTACTTGAAATTGCCTTCTCTTGCATTCTTTTCATCGCCCCCTCTTTACCTCTGCTCTTTTTCTGCCTTTATCATCCTTGGTTTTTCACCTTTTTACTAATCTCTTGCTTTTCCTGTTTTTACTTTTTTTTGTTTGTTTTTTACCCCTTCCTTTTTTCTTTCTTTCCCTCCCTTATGGCAGGATTTCCACAGAGCACTCACCCAAACTGCAGATCCGGAGTCACAGCTATCTGCGGGCGGTGAGTGAGGTTTCCATCAATAGGAGTCTGGACAGCTTGGACCCAGCAGGGCTGCTGGCTTCGCCTAAATTCCGCTCCCGAAACGAGAGCTACATGAGAGCAATGAGCACCATCAGCCAGGTTGGTGGCACTCTGGCTCCCATGCCTGTTTTTTGTTAGCCTCTACGGCCCTCATACCTCTACTGTTACATCCGATAAGGCTGTGCAGTGGGAGGAAATCCCATCGGTAGCCATTCTAAGACCTAAATTAGCAATCAGGTCACCATCCGGCAAATTATGAAAAAAATATAAAAAAAACCCCCAATCTCCTAATTAGTGTGTACGTGTGCATGCTGTTTTCTGGAGCTCAGATGATACCGATATTTTCAGATTGGCTAATTAAACAGGAGGGGATGCAGACCTCCCTCAGTTCCCTCTTTTGCCATAATACGCTCTTTCTGCATCAGCATATTTTGCGAACCAAAATGACAAGCTTAAGCTGTTCTACTCATTTAACATGCAGCAATGTGATTTTTATGAATAATTCAAAGTCGGATAGGTTCCAAATAATAACGGGCATTTGAGGTGATGTGACAGTTATTGAACATACTGAAGAATTGGCCAGGAAACAAGACACACACTAGCCTGGTGGAGGTTTGTTAATGTATTGCCAGCTACAAAATAAGATGTTAGTCATTTGGGATTTTGAGCAGTGCTTGATACATTGCATTATTTGTAATGACAGGGGAACTTAGTTTATCTTTTTGCCTGGGGTAATGGGAATATGTACTCCCCTCTAAAGCCCAGGGGCAACAGTTTGCCTCACCATCTGAATGATGGACCCCTGAGACATCCCTTCAAGTCCTGGCATGGAGCAGGCCAAGAAGAGAATGTCACACTGGACCTGGCATCAACAAAAAGAATAAAGGTGCTGCTTAGGTTCTCTATTTCACTGTTTGCATCTAGTGTCAGCTGGTGTCAATAGACTGACTCAAGGTCCACAAACCTTCCTGATTCCCAACTCTACAAATGTGCACTTACACCTCTGACTCTACACTCTGCTTACCAAGTCCTGCTTCTTTCATTTGTGTCACTCCCTGTGAAGATATCCTGGGAACTATCCTATTATCTGCCCTCACATAACCCAGTCTGTCCCACACACCCATCTTGCAAGTCTGTCGCAAGTTTTCTGAGTTGTGTTTGCTTTAGAGCCTGTTTTGAAGCTGCACTAGCTAATGATGTAGGTGTAATTAGATGTCCTTGAGTCACATTTCAAATCCCAGTAGTCTTAGCTTTGACACTTCCCATTCTCACCTTTAATAACACGCGTAGTATTTCACTGTGTTGTATGGCCCTTTGAAGTTTTATCCTACAGGGATTCTTCCCCCTCTGCACCCCTTGGATAGTCTTTTATTTTTCTCCAATGTATTTCTATTTTAAGTGGGCTATATGTAAATTCCTATAAATGGCTTAAAGCTTCATAAGACGGCGTGGAGGTAAAAGCAGTGACAAAAATGAATTGCTGTACTCTGCACTGACATGGAAATTCTGTGATTTGATGTGCTAAAAAAAAAGCTTGAATAGTGTATGATGCATTACCAAAAGGCACAGAGTTGTAGAACATAATTCACTGCAAGCAAATATTTCGATGGCTGGATTTCAGTCAAAAGATTTGAAAGATGTTTTGTTAAAAGTACTTTTGCGGTTTTTATTATTTCTCCTTGGCAGAGATGCATTTATACAAAACAAAAATAATTTTTTTCTCTTTTCTTTTGACCAAATGTGGTGAATCTGCCTGCCATAAATTATGGGGCGATCGTGGCTCAAGAGTTGGGAGTTCGCCTTGTAATCGGAAGGTTGCCGGTTCGAGCCCCGGCTTGGACAGTCTCGGTTGTTGTGTCCTTGGGCAAGACACTTCACCCGTTGCCTACTGGTGGTGATCAGAGGGCCCGGTGGCGCCAGTGTCCGGCAGCCTCGCCTCTGTCAGTGCTCCCCAGGGTGGCTGTGGCTACAATGTAGCTTGCCATCACCAGTGTGTGAATGGGTGGATGACTGGATATGTAAAGCGCTTTGGGGTCCTTAGGGACTAGTAAAGCGCTATATAAATACAGGCCATTTACCATTTACCATGGGTAACGCTGAAACCCCAATGTTATGTTGCAGCACCCAATTTGCACTTTAACTGTGTTTGTATATAAAACTCCTGCCTGGTGAAGCTTTGAGCAGTAGAGTAGTACAGTAACAACAATTCTTGCAGCACTAAAAGATGTTTCTCTGGCTTTTGCTTCTGTAACATATTGTCCATTCACCTTTCTCTTACACTGTGCTGGTACGCACCTGTGCATTGTTATTTTTCAAGGTGTTCTCTTTTTCCTCTGTGTGGATGTTTGTGTGCACATACTGTATGTATGTCTGTCTGTTTTCCCCTCCTCCACAGGTGAGCGAGGTGGAGGTGAATGGGCAGATCGAGGCGGTGTGTGAGTCAGTGTTCAGTGAGATGGAGTCACAAGCAGTGGATGCCCTAGACCTGCCCATGCCTGGGTGTTTCCGTATGCGGAGCCACAGCTACGTGCGTGCCATCGAGAAAGGCTGCTCACAGGAAGAGGAAGAGGGGAGCGTCACAGCGGGAAGCAGGAGGACCAACTCACCCCCACGCACCACCACCACTGTTAGAACCATCCAGAGCAGCACAGGTGGGTGGGAACATGTGCTTAAAGCATGCATACTCATGTGCTGATGACTGAGTGAACATACATAACCTATTATAAATTCATATGAGTTTAGAAAGTATATTTTATGGATGCACTCTGATTTCTGAAAGAATATCTTAATACTGCACTTTACTTGCTTACTTCACTGGAATGTTTATCCATAAACACGCAATACACACATGATTGATGGTCATCAAGTCAAATCTTCTCCTTTCTTTCCCTCTTCTGCAGAAACCCAGTCTTGGTTATTTCCATAAAAAAGAGCTGACTCGGTTAGCCAGCTGCAGACTAGTTTCACTTTGCAAACACAGACCCTCTATATTATTATCCATCTGACCCAGTTTTCTTCTCTGATACAATAAGATGAATGCCGGACTGTTTTTTTTCTCGCATAAGAGCTTATTTGAGCTGTAAAGCTCACTGACTGCTGGATCTTATTTTAGCCCTCTTGTGTGCCTCATGGTCTGGAGTGCTTAGTTTTCCAGCATTACTGCATGCAGTATTGATGCTGAGTGGTGCTGGCATCCAGCACTGGGTGCTTCTATGCTTCCCGCTGCAAATCCAAACGTCATTCCCTTACACGGTGCACGTTGAGTCACCATAGCCTGACGCACATTGGTGTTCGCTTTCATTATTATTTAATTATGCCAATTAAAAGACAGCCTCTCCCCAAACCAGGTTGACAAAGGTTACAGCCAGCTAATTAAACACATTAACTGCAAATTGGAAGAATTGCAAAGCTTGTTCAGTGAATTAAAAGGGCTTACTACTGACTCTGAGCAAACATTTATTTAAGGCTCTTTAAAAACTGCTCCAACTGACGTCTTTGCAGACTATCATTTCCTGCTCCAGTTAGTGAAATTAGACAAAATATGAATTTGCACCCCACTGTTTCTATCATTATATATCAAAGAAGAGGCCAAGTTAGGAATGCAATTAAAGGCAATGGAGGATTCATTTGATTGTTCTGTTGTTTGGTAGTACTTATTGATCTATAAAACGGAGAGAGTGATAAGAGGAAGACATTCAAAGCTCCCTCCTCGGAGGAAGGAAGAGATAATGAAGATCATCTATCAGGTGAAGTGTTGTAGGGACTAAAATGGGGTTTTCATCCTAGACAGCTGCTACACGTGGTACAGGAAGTCTCTATTTCTCTGGCTGTCTCACACATGGCTTGCAGGGCTCGCTCTTGATCTGTAACACAAAGGCAACACCTTTAAACATTTGTCAGGTGACTGGTGACTAAGCAGAGATTTCTTTGCTGTAGCACATATTTTAGAAGCGGTTGCCTCATAGCTGTTGACATTTTAATGAACATCCTTGTGATGCCTTAGTTGGACAGATGATGGACAGATATTTTATTTTTTGGAATTTCAAAGATGAGATAATAGCCCGGTGTATGGTACTGATGAGGCAACATAACACAACTCCTTCCAGTTGACGGCAATATTCTGTCTCGGGTTTGTGTCGTACTTTGTCGACCTCTTGTTACCCTTGACCCTAATTTCCCACCGACCTCCTGGTATCTCAAAATCAGTTGCAACTAAGATTTAAGCACACAACATGGGACATTAGAACAGTGATATATTACAAGGTGATGTGGAAAGCATTTAACTGTGATTGGTACTAAAGGTAGGGGATTGCTTCAGATTACTGTCACAACTATACTACTGTACACTTCGTCACCTCAGATTTTCACCACAAATTCATCAGTCACTGTAATTAATTATCTCAACCTCTCCTTTGTCTCCCACTGGGGCGAGACCACGATTAAGAGTAAAAGAAGAGATGGAGACTGGAGAGAGGAGAGAGGAGGGAAAAGTCTCTATGTGTCTGCATTTTGAATGGATGACTTTTTTAATGTGATCATCTGGTTAAAGTTAGGTAGGAGTTGTTCTCCTAATGCAGTGTGTAAAGTACAGGGATGGCAGATGGTTTCGAACCACTGAAACAACACCCTCCACATCTTAACACTCCTTAAAAACCCGATAATCAGATTTTACAGAGGCTACGAAGATTTCTGTTTTTGTTCCCAACTATTGAAGGATATTATAAATTTCTTTCTAACTGCTGTTTTTGGAAATGAACTGGAAATCTCAACATTTTAGTCATTTCAGTAAATTACTGGCAAATAAGCACAGGGGGGGATATGGTGCTGTTTGGGATTAGAAACAATCAAAAGGCTAGAATGTGTTTCAGCCGTCAAAGGCAGCATGTGCGGTAGCTGTAAACATTGCCTCCTGTCCATATTAATGTAGGTAACATGTGCACATAATGGGGATTTGCTGTAAAATTATTGTAGGCTAGCATTTTACAGCACTCAGTACTCAAAGTACCCTTTACCCACGGGAAAATACAGCAAACAATATGCATTTTATAATTTCATATTCATAACAGACATTTGACATTTGCAGTCTCTCGCTCTCTCTCTCAGCTCTCACATAGTAGGCTATAAAGAACATATAACTGTCGGCACGGTGACATCCTCCTAAGCAAACATTCACAGCTTTTACAGTTTAGTTTATTTCTGTTGTTTCACGATGTGAACACACGCACATTAATACATTTCACAGGAAATCGTCTGGGAGCCCAAAGCGAGAAATGAAGACGTTGTTGTGGTGAATATTGCATGATGTTTCTGAAGGCTGGTTCAAGCACCGGTTCCAGAAAAACAGCCCGCACTTATGGTTTTCAGCTCCCACTTGTCCCCACGGCAAAAAGCCAAAATATCACACACACACGCACAGACACACAGCAGGCAAGAGACCTATCAGCTTCCGCTCATGCTTCTCTCCGGTTTGCCCACTGCACTGCTCCAGCCCATTATTATTGATGATCTTTTTAATCCCGAGGAAGGAGACCGAAGTAAAGGGTCATCCTTTGATCTCTTCTCTTTGAACGTGAAGTAGCTGTGGCTGCTGTTGCCTGCGTCCGTGCCCGCTTAAACTGGCACATACACGCACACACACGTTAACCTGCAAACTCACTAACGCAGACATACTGCTATTGCCTCGAACAGACACGTTGGCCAAGACATCAGGTCCTTTGGATCGGTTTAACAAAATCTGGAGCAGATCCTCTTTCTAAAGCTTCGGAAAATCCATAGCAATCGGTTAATGTGAGGATTTTACTGCCTTTAAGCCCTGGCTCCTTCACCCCCACGTCATCTCCAGTTAACATATTCATCACCTCCTCACCCCTGCTTTGTCTTGTCCTCCCTTGCCTTCTTGCTCAACAGCTCGAGCCGCTTCCTTTATACCAGCGAAGCTAGGTGTGTGGGAGAATCAACCTGTTGTGGCACTTCTTCAGGAAGAATAAATGACCTTGTATTAGAAACCGTATACATGCATATCTTAAGTCTGGGAATTTTGCCATAGCTTCTTATAGTTTCTCTTTCTCTCCCCCTTGTTTCCCATGCTTGCTGACCTACTGTCATTTAGCCAACCTCACATTTCCCAGCGTCTATTTTTCAGAGGTGCCAAAGGATTTGGTTTAAAAAAAAAGAAAAGAAAAAGGTATTCACGCCCTAGCTTCATGTAATCAGTTATAGGACAATATTTGATTTAATGGCTGTGAATTTTTTACAGCCCCTACCAGAGGCATTGTGCTGAATAAAGCATTCCTTAAGGCATGCTTGTGTTCCATATTGCCAATGGTCTTGCAAACACTCAAGGGAAAACAACCTCTTTGTTTAGTTCTCTTATGCAGCTTCTAGCATACTTTTTCTATCTGCTTGCACTGCACAAGAGCAATTAAAAAAAATTAATACTAATAAAATACTTGTCATAAATAACTGTAGTTTAGATTGGCCGCTTTTGTTAAAAATGTTTTAGTGTAAGTAAAAGACAAAAGAATAATTAAACATGCAAATTAATATAAAGGTTTAGTTACTAAACCTTTATATTAAGAACGGCTGAGTTGCTTTATGTGCTGCATTTAAAAAAAAAAGGAAAACATAAACTGAGAAAGGATTAAGAATTTTCTCATTTGATTAGGTTTGTTCTTAATTACTTCTCTACCACTTTCTAACGACCTTTGCACACTAAATGTGGTCTTGCTGGGAGTAAGTGTAGGCTAACTTCTTGTAACCAGATCAAATATCTAATAGATTCTGCTAAGAAAACCTCTGTAAATTTGGTATTTGCACCAAAAGTCAATAGGGGATCTCATAAAAAGCACAGTATAAATGACAGGGAATCTTATTTCCTGTAAGAAAAGGTTTAATGCTTGAGGAAATATGCTTATTGGTTTTATTTTTATTTTTTTAATCTTATTAATAAGCATAGCTTAATTAAAAACATAATTTTTGCAACAGTAGTAAATATTTGTAATTTCCAAATATCTAATACCAATGGGTATGAGGGATTTCTGGGAGATTAGAATATAATAACATCTGCGCTCTTACTGTAGTGGCAGTTAATCACAGTAGGAGTTAGTGGAAAGGTGTCACCAGAGGCAATGACAGAAACCTTGTTGGTTTTGGTATTTCCTATTAGTTACAGACAGCAGCATTTTCCCACATTTGGTTTTCTATGTTTAAAAACACTCAACATACTGGTCTGAGTGTGGAACACTAAACTTACTGCGATGTTTTCGGGCTTTGCTCTGTTGAAATCACTAGCCCTGCATGTGTATTCCAAACTCTGCCTTACAGTAGAGAACTGCAGGCTGAGATAAATCCTGTACAACACTGCCCCCAGGGGCTCAGTGAAACACAGCACCACACCTCTGCTCTTTCTTCCTTCAGAAGCTCCGTGAGTGGGCGGATGAAAAACTACAAGACAGCTTGACCTAATTAAAAACAATCACTGGCTTTTTTCCAGGAGCTCTGTTCTGGGAGAGCTTGTGCGAATAAATATCTCTAGATGTGCTAAATATATATGGCTGGGATACAGACCGCTGAAGTCTGGCCGAATCAAGATCAAGCCAAGCATTGGGCCAGATTTCCCCTCACACCTCCACCAGCCCACGCAAATATCCCA